GAAGCACTTTTTTTAATTTTTATTATTAATGATTACGAGTATGGCAACTTTTTAATTGGTGCACAATTTTTTTTCAATAATTAAATAGGCCCATGAACTTTAAGATGGATAAAAGATATTCCTATTAGTACTTGGTGACAAAAGTTGTTGAAACTGGTTGGGTTGTACCCCACCCCAGTGAAATTTGTTCTGTCTACATTAATGATGTTGTACTAAATTGGTGAAAAAAAAAGACCGTTGCTATTAATAATTCCAATTCAACTAGAGCATAACAGCTCCGTTGTTGTTGTTGTTTTTCTTCAAACCTCCAAGTGTAAAAGGGGAGGAGATAAAGAGAGAAGAGAAATAAAGATTGTGATCATCTTTGTGGTGGAGAGGTAAAAAGAAAAAAAAGATGGCAACTTTAAGTGTTCCTCCTGTGCTTTCGTCCCCAAGAGATGATGCAATGCAACTGTATCGAGCCTTCAAAGGTAATAATCTCCTTCTCTTTGTCAATAATCTGTCCTTTTGGTTATTTAGTTGATGGGTTTGTGCTCTTTTTATTGTTTCTTTCATTATATGATTTTGGCATCAATTAAAGTTAGAAATTTTGGAGAAATTTGGCATCTTTATTAACCCTTTAGTTACATATTCATCAAAATATATTTAATGGGTCATGCTGCGAGAGTAATAATTGATGGTTCCTTCCATAGATATGTTGTTACATAAATTGTTGCGTCAAGTTCTGTTGTGTTTATGATGAGTAATCTTTATGATGCTTATAATTGAGGGGTTTTCCCCTTTCATGACAAATCTTGCGTATTAAAACAAGACACTTCTCTAATCTGGTCTTAGGTGGTCCTTTATTTTCCTTGAGTCTGACTTGCCTGATATGCCACAAACTGTTAAAAGACGAGGATGTTTTCTAATCTGAGATTTTGAGGTTTTCTTTTTTTTTTTTTTTTCCTCTCATAAAGTAAACATTTGAACAGGGAAGCCTGGAAAGGCTATCTGTTGAATTGCTTATACCTAACTTAATTTGTGTTTAGGTGATGCATCCTACTAGTATATCTGTGTAGATTGATGAAACAGATAGGAAAGGAACACTATGGTGATATTATCCTTCTCTTCATTTTGAAGACAAAGCATTTGATAGTAGCATAGATTAAACATCAACTGTGGAGTTGATAGATTGATTGGTAATATTAGCAAATTATTGTATGCTATCTTTTTTTGCTTTCTAGTTTTCAGACCATAAACATTGGCTGGGGGTCATCGACTTTTTAGAACCATAAATATTGCTCCGGGGACTCTTTGACTATGAATGTTAGAAATGAAGGGCTATAGGCGTGTAAGATTTCCTGAACTAAATCGTGTTAAATCATCTTATGTTCTGTGCTTTTGATGTTACATACGTTTAAGTTACCATACGTTGTCCTTTCTCCTTTTGAAGTTCCATAATGTGTCATTGAAAGACCACATCTTTTTTTGGAAAGATTAACCTACTTTTACCTATCTTTCAAAAGTTTGATTGCCTTTTCTTTTACCCCTTGTGTCAACTTTCTTAATCCAGGCAATGGCTTGTGGTCAGAGGTCAGAGACATCAGCTAAACTTCATGAATAGTGAATTTTTAGTCTATGAAAGTTGTGGCAAGTCTTAGCATGTGGACTATAGGAAAACTAGATTTTCACCTTGCTAAAGAAAGACTATTCAGGTTTATCGAGGCGACATCTATCTTGCTCTTAGAAGTTGTCTATCACAGTGATTAAATTTGGTTAAGCATAATGAAAAATGTAAAACATGGTTATTTGATTGGACAATCAAGAAAAGTCCAACACATGATCTTCTGTTTTGAATTTGTTGTGTTCTGCGTATCCTAGGTTTTGGATCAGACAAATCTGCAGTGATCAATATTCTGGCTCATCGAGATGCAGCACAGCGTTCTCTCATCCAACACGAGTACAGAACATTGTACTCTGAGGATCTTCTTAAGCGCTTGTCTTCAGAGCTTACAGGCAAATTGGAGGTACTATTATATCTACTCACATATGGTTTTCATAGCTTTAAATAGTTTTGGAGCTTCATAATTCAAGGACTTTCTGTTCCTGCATTTTCCCATCTAATACTTGTTCCTTTTGCGTTTCAGACAGCAGTTCTGTTATGGATGCACGATCTACCTGGACGTGATGCGATAATTGTCAGACAGGCACTAATGACAGGCACATTGAATCTGGAAGCTGCAACTGAAGTGATTTGTTCTCGCACGCCATCCCAAATACAAGTTTTTAAACAGCATTACCATGCAAAGTTTGGGGTTTACCTTGAGCATGACATTGAATCACACACATCTGGAGATCACAAAAAGGTAAACTGTCTCATCTTCTCTTTAATTGGTGTCTCATTCTGTTCACCAATATATCATTTGTCTATTGTCATGATGTAAAACTTTGTGAGATGATCCTGTATAGTTTTATGCCTATAAAATTTTAAAAAGTCAACTTGGAATTTCAAAAACAGATGTTTGTTACTGAACAACTGTTGCTGCTTGCCTTTGTAAGATTTGGGAATATTGTGGTTGCTGCTTAAACCGTGGAAAAGTTTAGTTGGACAGACCAACCGTTAGATTTCATTCTACTGTCACTATGGGAGGTTAATTTCAATGATTGGGAAGCAACATTAGCCCTGGTTTTAGAATTCTGTTCACTTTATTTTTTATGCTATTAATTTTCCTAAAATGACCTTCCTTGTCCACCACATTTTCTTTTTCTCCATCCACTTTATTTGTTAGCATTTTCATTTAATATTCATTAAAGGAAACATAAATTCCTGATGTATTATCATAATATACTTGATTTAGCTCTTGCTAGCATATGCAAGCATGCCTCGTTACGAAGGCCGGGAAGTTGATAGAGAGATGGCTGTGAAGGATGCAAAGGCTCTTTATAAAGCAGGTGAGAAAAAATGGGGAACTGATGAGAAGACTTTTATCCACATATTCAGTGAACGAAGTGCAGCACATTTGGCTGCAGTTGATTCTGCCTATCACGACATGTATGGAAACTCTTTGGAAAAGGTAAACTTTCTTAAAGTTATCTTTTCTCTCTTTTGTCTGTGGTTATTCTGTGAGGCAAATTTATTTGGAACAATTATAGGCTATAAAGAAGGAAACATCAGGATATTTTGAGCATGCTTTGAAGACAATTTTACTATGCTCAGTGAATCCAGCAAAGTACTTTGCCAAGGTATTCTTTTACATTTCCAGCCTCTCCGATTTGGTTATCTCCATTTTGTCTGGTTACAATGCAAACATTTTCTTGTGAAATGTATGGGATCCAGTCAACTCAGGTTTTGAAGGCAAATCGAATATTATGGTGTCATTGAATGCGTTTATATGATGTGGTAAACTAATAACTATGTGTAGATGACAGGAACGTAGCTTGTTACACTCATGCGGTCCAAATTTTTTTTTTTTAATATGAAATTGACGATTATACTGTTTGGGAGTTTGCAATGAATAACACTTCAGTAGTTCAGCCTTTGTGTTTTTAAAAAAGGATTTATCGAAACATATAGATCATGTAGAAAGAAAAGGAAATTGTCAAAGCTGAAGTTGAAACAGATTGAAATTGATTTTGTCCTGCAAGTCAGCATCTTCCTATATCGAGAAATAGTTAACTTATTAGAAATCTCATAAGTCGGTCAGCATGTATAGGATGATCATCTCACATAATGCATCACATATACAATTGTGGTATTCCACTGTCGCTGTCTATATAGCTTATTATCATTTTTCAACAACACCAGGCTTAGAGTACTCAAAACCTTAGAAAGGCCTACATTTGAATCATCCTTTTTTATTTTTTCAAGTTATGATAATAATTATCTTAATTCAATAGCTGGAGTATGCTACAGGGTTGACCCTCATTGCTGCTGGGTGAAATCAGGATTTAATCCCATCTCTTGTGATATTGTTCAGTTTATTTATTTACCTTATCCTATCATTTCATAAAACTCTGCAGGTGCTGCGGAAGGCGATGAAGGGCATGGGCACCAATGACACTGCACTTATAAGGGTAATCGTGACAAGGACTGAGATTGACATGCAGTACATAAAAGCTGAATATCTGAAGAAGTACAAAAAGACATTGAATGATGCAGTTCACTCAGAAACTTCAGGCCATTATCGGGCTTTCCTTCTCGCTCTTTTGGGGCCAAACCAGTAGCTGAAGATGGCTGGTGCATGTACAAAAGGACAAAGCATGTAAAGGCATTTCTATGGACATGATTGGTGTTTGTACAAAGGATTGAGATATTGCTTGCAATTCTAGGCACTTTGCTGACTTTTAAGAATCCAGTAAATTTGAAGTTCAAACACTGTTTTTTAAGGAAGTTAGCAGTAGCTTGTTGTTCTAGTTTCTCGTCACTGGTGTTGTATTCTTGGATATCTATGTTTTTATGGATTTATTGTTTCCAAGTAGGCTTCTAACTTTGCAATGTTGACTGGTAGAGTATGGCAGGGGCCTATCTGTTAGATGATTGTCTCAGGAATTTAATGCAAGGATGGGCTTGGCCACCCAACCATGCCAGCGTTGTGCCCTTACCTGTAACATGTATTAATTTTCAACTGCCAATTGGCATCTATTCATTCACCCATCAATCAGTCACACACCCAACCATCAATAACATGGAGGATTGGAAGTGGCATATGGGGCCCTGGATAATGTTCAGAACATTTGGTTTCAATCATCCTAATTCTCTTCAATTTTGTAGTCTCTTTAGTTTCTTGCATGTTTTGGCTTCTGGCAAATTGTAACGCAAAGCAAAACCTTGAATCTTTTACAGATACAAGAGCAAGGGCCTATCAGATAACTGAGATACTATCATATTCAAGTCAGAAAGGAAGATAAAGCTTAATTAGCAAATTTACATGTGAGAATAACAAAGCTTATATCAGTCAACTCCTCCCTTCAGCCTTCTCCCTAGCATCGATCACCAAAGTTAGCTTCATGGCAAAGGCAACTTAGCTGGGTGAAGAAGTGGAGGACATGATCTTCTTGATAAGTTGGAGAATGGATTGAGCTATGTGAATTGGAGGATCGGCATTTGCAGTCTCCCTGAAGGTGGCATGAATCCTCAGAGCAACTTCAACTCCTACCCCTAACCTTGCTTGCTCGTCCTTGATACCTTCCTCGCAAAGACCACACACCCACACGCCACCGAACCTCTCCTGCACCCAGCCTATGTATCCCATTGTGCACTCTTCCCACATTCCACAGCACCCACACACAGCTCTCTCCACCACTTCTCCACTTGCCATTTTCGTCTCTTCTAACCTCTCCGAACTTATTATTATACCTCTGCTTTCTTGTCCATGTCTTTATATAGGGATAGGAGTATCTTCCACAGTGAGGAGAGAAGAATCTTGTGGGCTTTATAATTTCTTAATATGGAGGTAGCCTCCAAAAATGTTGTGGACTAGAAACTTACCAAGATATGAAGAGAAAGGCCAGTAAGTATGGATCAGAAGAAGATATGGAAATAAATTGAATTGATCAAGTTCTTACAACACCATTCTTCAATTTTTATATGTTAGTTTATAGGATAGTAACTTGTGCACGTGAACATTATTTTAAGATTTATGTCTTCTAAAGAGACAAGTAAGTAATTGGTTTGAGAATATTTTTGATTGGTAAAATAAAAAGAACAGATTTTATAATTTAGAAAGAAAATCAATCTCATAGAAAAACTACATCTTGTTATTTATTAACAACATTCTTGTACAAATATAATTTTTTATACAATTTTAAAATGGAAAAGGGAAAAAAAAAAAAAAGGAAAAAAAGGATGAATTAAGGGATCTAGAAGTAGTGCTGTATATAAGAAGACAAGGTAGGTGAAGAATGACTGTAGAAAGAGGACATTATTGAGGGTAGGGCACTGTTTGAAGAAATATAGTGCTTAGATTCAATGGCATTTGGATAGAATGATACATTTATTGACACTTGTGATCCAGTAGTATGGAACCTTGTTCAACTTCTTTCGTTTGTACTCTCTCTATTTGTCTTACTTTCTTCCATCTTCCATGATTGATTGATATATTGGCAACTTATGTTTTCATAAATCCACTACATAACCTCTAGTATTTTTAATTTAATTAATTAAATACGTATATTTTAATTTTAGTGATTTGAGAACGATTTTGCAAAACTAATTAATAATTTTTATACGTCAGATCGAATAAAAATATAATATATATGTATATAAATACAGTATGTGATTCCCACTTTATAAAGTTATATTATTATTTTTATTTGAATTAACATATAAAAATTATTGATTTTATAAAATCATATTCAATTAACTGAGATTCAAAATATGCGTATTCAACTGATCTAATTGAAAATACAAGATCTTATTAGATAGATGTATGAAAGTACAAAATGTAAGTAATAGGTTTAGTCAAAACAATAAGGAGAAAATTGAAAATGGAGGAAATGATGGGAGACTAGAAAGTATATATATATATATATATATATATATTCCTTGTTCCCTCCATACATGTGTTTAGTCTACTCAAGATGCATAAGAGATTGCATTATTAATTACCTGTTTCACAACAAGAAAAAAAAAGATTTTTTTTGTTTACTCTTAATTTAAAATTTTAACAAGTATGCCGTAAATATAAATATAATTTTATTTAAAGAATGTATTAGTATAGTATTCGTGCATTGCGGTGGGTTACTTTATAAAATATGTTTTAATTGACTTACAAAATCTATTTTAATATTTTAACTAGTTTTAAAAATATAAGTGAATGAAGTAAAATGAATCAATAGTAATTGGGGGGATTTTTTTATTTAATATCATGCTTGAATTTTTTATTTTAGTTTAAATAGATTATATGAATGTATTTGATTTTGATAAATAAAAAAGCACACAATAAATTATTTACTTTTATATATAAAAAAAATTAAATTAGAAGAGTTAATAATCGCAAGGTGAAAACTGACGCTAAAAGGGTGCTAAATAATTGTATATTTGAAAGGTGTTTAATTTTAGTTAACGAGTTTATAAAAAAATTATACAATAACTATTAACTATTAAGAAAAAAATTATTTTGAGAAAATAATAATTAATAAAAAAATAAAAGCATAAAAAAGAAAAACTAAAACAGAAAGCTCGAGGAGCGCACCAGGCCCGCATGCATGGACTGGACACGTATGGCCCAGACACTTAGGGAAAAAAAAAAAAATAGAAGACGATTCATCTCTGTAACTTCCAGGGACCAAGTGTTGTCAGAAAATCTGGGATCATCGGTTTTGGCCCCCTAACCTAATTTTTATTCCATTCTTATCCCCAAATACTTTAAAATCTCTCCCAAGAACATCTAAAAATAATATTTGAACATCAAAACATGTTTTGATCAATTTTAGAAATACAAAATAATAGATTCTCTCTCCTCCTTTCTCTCTCAACAGTTCTCTAAGTTTAGAGACCATTATATATAAATCAAGGACCAAAATAAAATCATATTTGTGAAGAACCAAACATCAAAGACTAAAATGAATTCATATTTTCAAAAAATCACTTATTTTTGTATGAAAATGACGCTGGTTTGAGCTAAATTTGGTCAAAACTATGCCGTTTTGATTCATATACTATGTAGGTAAGCTACATTAGACACCCATATCTTTTTAGGTTTTGTGACACCCGAAATTTTATTTTTTCTATTATGCATATGGGTGCGTCTTATTTTTATTCTTGATTTATGTGTATGATTAATATTTTTTAAATATTTTTTTATGTAAAGTATTTTAAATTGAATGTGTTTAGAGATTAAGGTTAGTTGAGTTTTGAGATGATCAAATGTATAAAAAATAAATAAAATCTATATATATATATATTCTTGTTTAAAAAACAGGCTACCACCACCCCCCTCCCATTTCTCCCTTCTCTTCTCTTTCCTTTCTGAAAGCATAACTGTAATATCATTGACTTAAAAACTCCTTAAATGTATATATATGTATACATAATTTAATTAATTAATTAATATATGAATGTACATTTAAAGTGTGAATTAATATTTTATGCTTGCGTAGAAAATAAATTAATGCATGCATAAATATTATGAGAGGTGAATAAATTATTTAATGCTTGAATTAGTGAGTTATAATATCAATTGTTGTAGTTGTAATAATCTAGGGGTGTAATTGCAAAATTTTAGAGATTTAATTGCAATAATTAAAAAGATGGGTTACTTAATTAAAATAATTAGAAAATCAAGACTAAAACTTTTCGTTTGACGATCTTAAGGACACATCTCAAATATCTACATGGTGTATTATGAGAAAAAAAAAAAAAAAAAAGATTTCCTTGAGTGTTGACTTCAAAGTTTGAAACTCAAAAAATAAAAAAAAATCAAATCTTCTTGAACACCAAACCATTTTGTAGTGTGTTATATTACTTGGTTCATAAAAATTTCAATTTTTAGGATTAACTTGAATAGAACTTTGTACTGTCTGCTATTGTTATTTCACGGCGACGAGGCTGTCTCGGCTCCTTTGCCAATCGGCCCAATGTGAAAAATTTCCGATCGGCCTATATCCAAATCGGTTAAACGTTGAGGGATGAATCTTGACCAAAGGCCTTGAGCCTCCCGAGGGATAGGCACCGGACCTCCGGCTAAATCCAACAGTTCCCTCTTGGAACTCCAAATCAAGAAAAAAAGGAACTTTTTTTTTTCAATTTTCAGTTTTTCATAGCTGTTTTCAAAATTTTCACTGCTATGACAAATTTTATCATCTTTCTAATGTTCGAAATTGCTAGTATTTTATCACCTTTAATGTCCCAAATTTTTATAAACAAAATCAGAAAATAAAAACTGCAATACCAAAAATGAATATTCAAAAAAAAAAAAAACATGTTAGCAAGATGATTACTTGATAATGACATTTCATCATATCTATTAGCTAGATTTGAAGCAGTTATCTGCCTTTTAGGATTTGACTAAAGTAGACTAACTAGTGGGACATATATGCAACCCACAATCACAACACCCTATTTTAATGGTGGAAAATTAGGGAAAAAAAGAAAAAAAAAAGTGGAATCATACATGCAAAAAGTAAGAAATGATGTGTTACTATGCAATTAGAGCTCATATCTAAATTTTATGCAGCAACACAGTTTCAAATATTCCTGAAATTGAAAGAGATCTGATTTGATGAGAAAGTATATAGAAATAAAAAAATGCCAATATTCTTTTCATATCTTTACAGCAATTAGTGTGTTGTTGCTTTATCAACTTTTCTTGAAGTGCACATCAAACTTCAATCAAAGCCGAACTAATGACAAAGAGATGATCATTAAAGTCAAGCTTTCACACTCTAATTCTGTAATGACCCCACTAAAGAGACAATGGAAAAAGATGTTGCAAGAAAAAGAGTGAAAGGAAGGAGAGAATATATATCATGCACCATTAAAAACTGATTCCTTCTTTTCTTCTGCTTTTTGCTTCACTGATTACACCATTGAATGACTAACATCACCTCATAACTTAGTCCAACAATGGCCCGAAAAAGAATATACAGACAGACATTCATTGAACTGACAGAACAAGACTTTCTTCTTCTCCCCCTTCAAAACCCTGTATCTATTTATACTATCTATGGTTTTTTTTTTTTTTTTTTTGGGTTAAGGAAAAGGGAAATCTAAATACCATGAAAGTGCCATATAGTTATCTAGGCACTACTCTATCTTAAATCAGTCATGTTCTTTGTTTTGCCAGTCTGGTCTCCCCAAAGAAAACTCCAAGATTGGATTCTTGAGTTCTTGATTGGATCCTGAAATGCTTCTCGATTGAGAAAAATCAACTCCCTGCAAGTATAAGAAGAGGGGGAAGTTTGTTAAACTCAGATGCAATATGTTTTGGACTGCTTAGGCATGCTTGAGAAAAGAAAAGAAAAGACAAAAAATAATAAAAGAGAGAAGTTTGAAATGTTGAAGCTGGATTTCAGAACCCTATAATCATTACCATGACTGAAATGCTTCCTATTGGGAATTCCACAAGAAAAAAAAATTACTTAATGCTCTTATTAATCCCTTATTTCAGTAAGTAAACTTTTGCTTGATCATGAGTTTTCATACATTTGGCTCCATAGCATGGATCCATTGAAGCATTTATGTAGGTCTCTGAGCAGATATCCAAGAGAACATGGCATAAAAAGAAGCTTATCGGTGGTAATGCAAGCATCTACGTGTACGAAGGATCCAGCAATCAATGAAGCTGCAAACATTAATTATTCGTCGACAATACTGGCATATATATGATAGTCAATAGAGTTATGGAGATGCTTGTTGATTAGTACATTTCTCTCACTTAGTTTAGATACTCACTTCCAATTTATTTCCCGAAGCATTTTGAGATGATAGGGCTTCTGCCCTAAGCCCATCCAGATCTCTTGAACTGCCATGCATCCATCCCCCTTTGCTGCAACAATTAATAAAAAAAGTAATCAGTCACTATTAAGCCATTGACCTGCGACTAAATTTCTGATAGAAAAATGCTCCTCTAATTTCCTAGGCAATAGGTCACCTTGCCCAAACAAGCCTAGCACAAGCAGTTATATCTATCTCTTACTGTACTCTTCAATTGTACAGTTCTTCGATGATGATGAACGAACTAATCAGCAGAAGAAACCCCAAAGTAATGCATTCAGTTTCTAAAGGAATCCACCGACCTATTAGCTAAATTAATTAAGAAGGAATGTCCAAACTAATGGTGTCAATGAAGAGACTTTGCTGCCTTGACTCCAACGCCCCCCATTTTCACACTAGGTAGGTTTGGTTTTAGCTAGCTAGCTATCTAGCTAGCAAAGTAACTCTGCTTTATGAGACTACGTAACATGGATTTAAATTTTGTCACATCAAGAAAGAGTGATTTGGAGAAATAAAGAGGCATAAGGACATCTTTATTTCGCAGCTCAAAGCCTCTTGAAAGAGACACACATTGATATCAGTTTAACTACAAACTCATTGACATAATTTAATATAACTTTGAGCAATTAATTATTCCAATCCCGAAACTCTCTATTGCCATTATTAATTTATATACATCTTGCAGCTACCTTGGATCCACTCTCAAAGCCCAAATGAGCTTGCCTATAGAAACTTGTTAAGACATCAAATACTGCTGTGCCTTTGCAATATTCTACAAAACTCGATCTTTAGCCCGTTAGTGCTATGAATCTAAAAGTTTTACTATGATACTCCCTTCCTTTCTTTTTTGACGAAAAGGAAAAGTTACTGACTGATTTGTCCCAATTATTTAATGGATCAGACAAGTGTTTTCTTTTATATCATGAAAATGCGGTCTAATTACCTCGTAATCTGCTAGAGTTGACAATTAAGAAAGCACCCATCACATGCCACTAAAGCAGTTACTGAAAATAAAAGTTACAAGGGCCCATGATTTCCGAGACTAATCTTTCAAACTACACGAGACTGGTTACATTGTCCACGCATGGAGACTCACTGGGTCAAACTTTAATGAAAATGAGCTTGAAAATTAGGTACACTAGCAAAATGAGGGTGTTTCATGCTACCACACAGGTATAGATTCTTTTCAGTTCTGAAGTACAGAAAATAATACTAATAATACCCTAGGAAGGCGACTACAACTAACTAGCTAACATGGCAGAAAATGGGCATCTTAAATTTTAAATGACTGTAAAATTCTCTAAGATAATGGGAATCTTGTATTGACCATCATGTTAAAAAAGGCTTATCGTGCATGATCATTTTCTGGGTTAGATAGTTCACTTTTCCGCTATCTTTTTGTACATTTGAGATTAGAAGCACAAATCTTTTTGTGATTCTTCATTAATAAGTGCGTTTGTGTAACATGATCAAGAAAAATAACTGTAGCTATTATCGGGGGGAATGTACTTTGAGCTAGCTATGGTAATGATTTGAAAGTATGAAAATGCAAAAATGTACGAAAGCATTGGTGGCTTTCATTTAATCACTTACACTAATTTAGTGGTGTCTTTTTATCTTTTTGGTGGTGTGTTCCCTTTTTGCTAAGCCATCTCTTTCCTGCCTTTTGTCATATTGTTTTAATTTATGTTATTTCTTCCAAACTTTTAATAAAATTTTCTATCACATTCTTTAAAATAGAAAAATTACTTATATATACTAATTTATTGTTTTGATTAGTTGAGCTGATATTAATTAGTTACATTAAATTCAAAATTAAAATAAGAGAACTTTGTTTCACTTTTTTTATCATTGCAGGAAAAAGAAAGAATTTCCTATTAATAACCTAAGGATTATGTGAATAACTTAGCAAATTACAATATATATATATATATATATATATATATATATATATATATATATATATATATATATATCGAAGGAAATGTCTATTAACTCTTCATTAATACATACACCTTGTTAAAAATAAATCAAGTAAGAAAATAGAATAGAAAGATAAAACAATTTCAAAATATAAAAATTTACGTGATTTAATAATTATATCTACTCTAAGATTGTATTAGGATTTTTTATTAGCGTGTTATCAAATGGTAGCTTAGAAATATAAGAGATTTTATTTTTATTTATAGTTTAGACAATTAAGATTATAACCAAAAAATAAATAAAAATAAAAAACTAATGGACCTATACATCCGATTTAATATTTTTTAAACTTTTGAAAGGCTTCATTCTTGTGTCCCCACTAAGAGTATTCTCCCCTTAGTCTCTGCTCACTAATCGATTAACGAGACCGTCATGTGTATAACGTATTAAATTACGCTATCTTTTTTTTTTTTTTTGGCTAATTGATCCATTAATGCAAACTCTTAACCTAGAATGAGAAATTCGAACCCTCAGCTGTTTTGGATGGTATTAAACTATTAATCGAGGTGGATATCTAGGGCTTTTATAAAAACTCACCAGAATCAGAGAAACCAAAAAAGGTAGGGTGTAATATATAATACAAAATTAGCTGTTTTGGAACTCTAGAATGAAATTTCAGGAAAACTGCCAAATCCAAGGGACATCCTAGCGGTTAAGATTTTACATGTTCATTAGATTTTGAGCCTAAATCATGGGAGAGATAGAGTTGGATCAAAAGATAGGAGATTTGTAGTCCAAAATCCATGGGACCACAACTTAAAGTGAAGAAAAGAAGAAGAAATGAATATTAATTAAGTAATTGGCATTTAGTGAACTCTAAATATTTGGTCAACTCCAAAAGCTAGCACATGTCCGTAGATCTGAATTTGTTTCAGCTAGCGTAGCATTCTAGCAATTTTTTGGCATTAAGATGAAGGAGATGATCTCCTTAACTATCTCCTGAAATAGTAATTAAACTACTCAATGTATACATTCTCTTTGGACATCACTAAAAATTGGGTTAACAAAAAGAGTTAAATTAACTCCTCCAAAGGAAGGTAATTAATAACCTTAATGTTACTGGAAATGTCACTATGGTTTTCTTATTCATATTTATATCAAATAAATATGAAAAAAGTTGAAAGTTTTTTTTACAACCTTTGCTTCATTGAATCCAATTTATTGTCACTTGTTTTCAGTTGTTAATTACTAGACTTTTTTCATGACCAGTGGAAAGGTATGTATATATGATCCATGACCATGCAGAGTGCTAAATCTGAACAAAAGCAGTAAAGCAAAACAAAAATACAAAAGAAAGAAAGCAAATTAATGAAAAGCAAAACATGTGAGAAAGAAGTTAGCTCAGCTCCTTTTAGTTTCAGACAAAGTTAAAAGGAAGACGTGGATTTGGATTTCCTCTACAAGTTAAAATCACCCATGCATGAAAGGGTAAAAAAAACCAGCTTTAAAGTTGAAGTCGTAAAAGAGAAAAGGGATGCACCCTTTTGTATCAAACTTCATAAAAATCAATTAATGCAAGGCGTGTGAGTGTGCCAGTGTGTGTAAGGGGGAGAGAGAGAGATAGAGAGAGTGGTGAGAAGAGGAAGAGAGCTTGTGACCTTCTGGGTATTACCTAGAAGAGTTGCCCCATAGAGTAGTGGGAGAATTAGTGTAGCCATTATCATGCTGTAAACTAGGCACATTTGAACCTCCTTTCTGGTTGAGCACATAGTTAGCGTTTTGACTAACGCAAGTTGTTCCAGACATGAAATCTTCATCACCAGATCCATCTAACAGATAACCAATAAAATTCAAGTCAGCCCAAGTGCATAAGATCATGATTTTTGTGGGTGGCATGCATTTTTTACAAGTAATTAATCGAGTACATGGACAAATTTTTGCCATAAAAGGTATGCAGATACATTAATAAAAGGCAAATGGAAATGTGCGTTAGTTTGTTAGGGTAACAGGATAGGTCAGGAATCTTCAAAATTTGAAATGGGGTAGCGGAAATAAGGGAAATTGATAATTAGGTTAAAACTAAAGGAAAGGTAGACGTATTACCTGAGGAAGCTGCAGGTCTGCAGTCAGTGCTCTTAACAGTTCTATACATCTGCAAAGGCAAAAGGAGACAAAGAAAATGAATAGAAAACAAGGTAGACCTATGCTCCTATGGTGGCAGTACCATATAATGTTTGAATAATAATAATAATATAAAAGGGCAAGAGATAAAAAAGAAAGAAAAACCCCAGTCAAAAAAATCAAATCAGATGCTTCTCTTTCTGGATTTTTCATTATTTGTTTATTAACCACGAGGTTGATGTTTGGTAAGGTCAGTAATGGCTTGTATTATTGAGAAATGATGGCTACTTTTTTTTTCTCTTTCTTTCTCTCTCTCTCAAAAAGTAGAAGTTGTCCTGTATCAGAAAACAGCAGACTCAACTGTTCATTCATTCACTGCCCTCATCGGCTCTCGTGCCAGTTGGATAGCCTAAGCACAAGTCCTCTTCACCACCCAAAACACAGGTGACAGAGAGAAGGAAGGGACTCTAAACTACTAACACTGAGATATTGCAGGATTCTCTTGGTTTCTTGTCAAGTATGGAAGAAGAAGAAAACGACATCAAATAAGAAAGGAAAAGAGCACTGTGTTTTCATGCCAGACCTGTAAATGACTTTTAACATGAGCAAGTGTTAGATCTTTGACATCCATGAGCTCTAGAACTGACTTTGGAGTTGCCCCTAATAAAAAGAAAGTAAACAAAACAATTATTACAAAGATTAGAGCAAAACTAAGTACTCCATAAAATTAACCAGTTCTTTAACTCAGTTACTATATACACTATTATTTTCTTGTTCTTGCACCATCACAACAAATAAGCAATCTTGTATATTAAGAAGAAGAAAAGATCCATACTTTCATGGCCACCAAGGAGCTCAACAGCATGAACAAAACGAGCATGGAGGGAGCTAGTCCAACGCATTCTTGGAGCTCTCGTATTCCTCTTGCTTTGTAACTTTGGCATAAATCTTGATCTAATCATGCCACTACTGCCATATACCTCAGCACCGCTACCCCCTACACCTGCAGCTCCATATTGATGGTATTGATGATACGGTGGTACTCTAAGTGTCTCCATTGACATTCCATTGAATCTTGGTGCAGAAGTACCCATTCTGTAAGCTTGGAAAGAAGGGCTATGGTGATCAGCAGAAGAATTGGAAGAAGAGTAAGGTGTGCAGGATGGTGAATAAGGAATTTGGTTAAAGCTAAATCTAGGATCAATATTATCTCCTGAACTATTCCAGCTATTGTAAACTGGAATCCCCTTTATAGGCTTCAATCCTGTGACATCAAGAACTGAGATCCCATGGTTTACATGACTCATTTGGCCATTACTAGAACATTGAAGAAGAAGATTTCTTTGCCTTGCTTGATCACGATGATGTTCTTCAACAGTACTGCCAGTTCCACTTCCACCAAAGTTTCTTCTCCAAGGGCTCTCTGCCTCCAAAGCAGTACTTGTTGGATTTGCAAGAGAGAGTTCAGTATCTGCTTGAGACCCAACTCTTATAGAACTATCACTATGTGATTTTAGGCCATCATCTTTGCGCCAAATATCAAAAGCAGAATCACCATCATTTGTGCCAGTGCAAATTGAAGAAGGAGCACTGTTTGGAAGGCTTATGTGCAGTGAAAGGTCTGGAATCAGATTCAAAGACTGTTTATCAAAAATTCCTTTCTGGGACATTTTTAATATTCCCTTAGAAATTAATGGTTTCAGTCTGTTGTTCTTGTTCTTCAATAATTAAAGAGAACCCACAATTCAAGAACACAAAAGATAGAGTAGATTTTTAAAAGTGGGATCTTTTCCAAACTTACTAAAAAAGCAATCTTTGGTAGGTTAGAAGTGTGGATTACTAGGAAAAAGAAAGCAAAACCCTTTATTAACTTCACAAAACCAAAGCATAGCAAGAAAGAAAGAAAGTTTGCTGTAGAGAGTGCCTAAATGTAAAAAAGAAAAATGAAAGTCCTTTTCTCTTCTTCAAGAAACAGACATACTTCCCACAGAGAGATGTGTGGTACTGATGCAAGAAGAGTAGATATAAAAAAGAAAAAAACTGTAGGAAAAAGATTGAGAGAAGGAGAGGAATTTGGGGTTTTGGTTTCCAATTTCCTCGAGAGTATATATAGGAAAATGACACTTCAACAAAGCTTGTCTCTCTCTCTCTCTCTCTCTCTCGCACTCTATTTCTCTCTATATAGAGCTGATCACCTCTCATTTTCTCCATAGTCAATACACGCAAAACTGTAAAGGCTTTGCCCATTTTTTTTCCTATTAAAAATAAATATTCCCCGTAGACAACGGGTTAAATATACTATATGAAAGAGATAGAGTAGAAGGAAGGAGCTGAAAAAATATTCTTCAGTTCTTTTTTTCCTCACCCTATTGGGCCTCGCTCCTTCTCTCTCTTATTAATTACATTAGGGGAAAAAAAAGAAAAGGAAAGGAAAATGTGGAAGACAATAATGCAATGAGCAAGTAGTCTTATGAGTTAAACAAGACATCATATGTGTCTTGTCTTGCTTCAACGATAATCTTTGTCCAAAAGCAAGGAGGAGATATATAATTGTAGAGTCTTGAATTTTTTTTTTCCTTATTATAAAGGGAATAAAGGGATATTGTAAAATTAGCTATATTTGTCTTTATCCAATCACCAAAATAAATATATTATCAGTATTTGTTAAAAGAAACAAGAAGAATCATACTATTTTTTTTCCCATAAATATTACTAGCAGAATAATTAATTTCATTGAAAAAGTAGAATAGCACTAATTACAAATTAACAAAATTAATTAAGTTTTAAATATCAAAAAACTATTTCAATTTAAAAAGTTTAATCAGTTAAATGAGGCCTCATAAATGATTTTATTTTACTCTCCAATACAAAGTCTATTGAACTTAAAACTTATACGGATCCATCATTATTTTAGTGGTGAGATTTGAACTCGTCATATTTTGGTTATCAAAACTCTAATACCATGCTATAAAATTATTTCAATTTAAAAATTTAAACTTTTAGATGAGGTTTTTAAAATTATTTTATATTACCTTTTAATACTAGATATTACTATTTAACATTCCACATTTGGTTTTAACGTGAGAATACTTTATTTTTATTTTTGTTAAATAATAATATTGTCTATTGCTAAGTTAGTTGGTACATAATGTAGAGAAAGATCAACATCTTCTATTTCCAAGCCTTCAACCCAAAAATTCTTCAAATATGTTAAACAAATTAATAAAGAAATATCATTTGAAAAGTAGTTCATCAGCCTTGAATTTTTTTTTCCTACACAGAATTGCAGGGCTTAGCTAAGCTAAATGATTTATTATTGACATATGGCAAGTTGTTCCACTAGATTATGAGTATTGGGAGGTGAGCCTCAATGTTTCTAAACAAAACAATTAATTATCATTCAAAATTTCGATACAGACTGCTGTGATGATTATTTATTTTTAATTTGTTTATTCTTAAGCAATCATATAACATTAGAAATTGGTGAGATTGACAATTCATTATTTATGGCTTATTGCATTTGTTTAGATGAACTTTTAGTATAATTTATTTTCATAAATTATAATTACATTATCCATGAAAACCAAAAATCAATTAAGTTAATTAGGGTTGCAATAGCAAGTAGCCAATAATTAAATTAAAAATTTCAGTGTATCAACCAAGCAAGTTATTTTGGTTCACATATATAGATTAGGTCCATATAAAAAGTTTCCCCAAAAAAAAAAAAAAAAAAAATAAATATATATATATATATATATATATATATATATATATATATATATATATATATATATATATTTATTTTTTTTTTTTTTTTTTTGTTAAGAAGAGGGACTAGTTTTTCGTAAGAAAAGTTGAAAAAGAAGAAGAAAGAGAAGAACACCGTTCAAAAGTATTCATGCAAAAGGAAGTAGTTTCACATTGATCTAATAAGGAATTTCATAATGTAGACTAAGGATATATTTTTTCTCTCTCTAGGTATCCCTATTTTATATTGGAGATAAAATTAATATTTTTTGAAGTGAAAATAATAAAATTTTATCTCTCATAACAAATAAAATTACAGGATTCAAACCTTGCATATTAATAAGAAATTCGCTCAATGATCAATTCGCTTATCACTAGACCAATAATTTACTCGGTTAGATATCGACATCTTTAGACTTCTAGAATAAAACAACAAAAGGAAGCAATTAAATTCAAACCCAATAATATAAAAGTTGTATAGACTACTTAGCTAGATAAAAAGACCAATCAAATTTTCTGAATATTGTACTTGACGTTTAGTCAGAAAAACATGGGGTTTATAGTTAGGATAGGATAATTGGAGGGGGGGGGGGGGATGGGGCAAAGGCTACAAACTATTGTAATTGGGGGGCCAACAACGGAAAATAGAAGGATGGATGTGAAATAAATTTATGTAAGAAAGGGTTTAGAAAAAATAAATATATTTTTGGGGGCCGAATCCGCACTCCCTTTGTCCCTGTTTGTTTATCACTTTTGATTTTTTACAAAGATTAAGAAGCATAATAAATATATATAGTGGACCTCAACTCTTCAATAATATCCTTTTGTTTGTTGTTGGTCTTTTTTTATTTATTTTTATAAAAGTTGAGAAACGCAATAAATACAATTTTAATAAGAAGTATAACGAAAAAAAAAACTGAACATTTTGTATCTAGACAAATATTTTAGGACAATCTAGAGCAGAAATATGAACAAGGAAAGTGCGATGAAAAGAGTATTTAGAATCACAAAATCCTCAGAGTATAAGGACTAAAATGAAGAATTTTTAAAGTTAGGGGTGCTATGGCCCCATCAAACTTATATGCAAAATTACATATATAGGGCCACAATATTAAAGAAAAGAAAAAAAGAGTACAAAATGGATATTAGGCTAAGCTTGTGACACGTCAGTAGTAAGTTGGGGAGGTGATGAAGGAAACCATAAGTAGATTAATTAGATGGGTTTTCGGACTTTGGGTGTCATGGACAAGATAATATATATTGATTAGGACGATGGACCCATTGACCTGAAATGCGTGTTGAGACTTGAGACCCTTAAAGGCTTGTTTGTTGGCTTTCATATGGTGATCATCGTAAACCCTAAATCAACAAAAACATGGTAAGTTTCTTATTCCTTTTCATTCTCCCAAATATTCCCTTCTAATCCTCATGCCAACCCCACATGAGCCCCATTGACTATTTAACCTGAATGAATTTTCCAAACCCTAGGCTAAATATAAACAAAAGAAATATATATTTTAGCACATAAATCTTCTCTTAGATCGAGAGGTACGCTCTTTTTTCTTTAATGCATTCAACAGTAGTAGAAAAATGCATTCAGTAGTAGGTTAAGCAGTATTCTAACACAAGTCTTCGATCTCTTTCATACTTGGGAGTAGGAAATGCCCATTTTTTTTAGTAACATCGAGCTCAAACCTTTCAGCTAGCTAGGTAAGCACCAATATATATATATATATATATATATATATAGTCTTGACGATGTTTTAGTCCAGAGGATAAACGAGTTTGTACACCGCTTTATTGTCCATTGTTTGAATCTGAAAGAAAAAAGATTAGAAAATAAAAATCTTAAGAGGATGTGCTAGTTCAATTGTGAATGGTATGAACTGGTTCAATACCGTTCCAAAGACAATAATTGTGAAAACAAATAACTGACATTTCCATTTTAGGTTTCTGTAAGTAAGCATTTTTGGAGAAATGTTTGCTTTGATTATGGTTGCTAAATTAAGAACTATTAAACAAGAAATTGATGTAGCTATTCATCTAGGATGCTCTAAGTTGGAGACTAAACTTAATAGCTTATCAACACTGATTTCAATGCTTGCCACCCTCACTGTAATTCCCCCTCTAATTTCTAATATCAAAGCACTAATATCAATATTTGCCACTATCACTTTCCTCTAATTTCTACTATGAACAATGGCCTCACCAAACTTCATAATACTTAAATCACTCCTAAACTATATAATACTATATTGATATTTTATTCTGACTATCAAATCTCTAAATATTTTTAAAATCTAATAAAAAACATAAAGTTGTATCAATATAAAACTTTATGTTTTTTATATACAACTTTATGTTTTTTATTTGATTTTAAAAATTTTAAAGTCCAAAAAAAATTAAATTACATAAAAAAAAATCACCTTAGTTAATTTTTTACAGGTTATTTTTTGTTATTCACTTATATTATTTTTTATTTACTTGAAAAAATACTAATAATGTTTTTTTTTAAAAAAAAAGGTAAGATTTGCTAAAAGCATATAAAATTATTATTCATGCATTTATTATTAATTTATATTCATGTTACATATATAATTAAAAATAAAATTTTAAAATCAAAAGGTTTCATAGCAATATAATGTCAACTGAAAATATTTTAGTAATTTTTATTTTTAAGAATTATATATATTTATATTAACTAATGAATTATTAATGATTTAGACTATCAAATCTCTAAACGAATTTAAAAAAAAAAACCAATAAAAATATTAAATATTTAAATACGAAAATTATTAGGTTGCATTAAAATTCATCAAGTTATTAATTAAATTGAATTTTTTGTTAATTTTTTATAGACAATATTTAGTTTTTTCTCTCTCATCATTCTTTACTATTTTGAACAAACGTCGTCACTAATAATATTAAAAAATGAAAGATGAAAAAAAATGATTTATGAAAATTACATTCATATCCATATTGTTAATTTATATTCATGTCACATATAATTAAAAATATGAATTAAAAATGGTTCATAATAATATTATGAAAGCTAAAAATATTTTAGTTATTATTATTTTATGTATAATTAACTTAACTATTAATTGTTAATTTTTGAAAGATAATTCAATTTTATCCCAAATTTTTACTTAAACCCGAGTTAAAAATTATTTTATGTGGTTCAAAATTTTTAAAAATAATTTAATTGGCTTAAGTTTCTTTAGGTGTGAAGAACAACACTCCCTAATTCAATTTCTTTTAAATAAGATGAAGATATCCTATATTGTCGTAACAACTAATTAACAAACAGATCACTACTTTTCCGCATAAACACCGTAAATAACAAAAACATGGCATTGTTTCAAAAAAATTAGGAGAAATTGAAAGAATTGTAATAAAAATCCCATTTTAAAGTGTAAATCCCAAATATCTACCTTTCAAACTACCGAAGGATCTATTCGAAGTGCAAAAAATCTTGAAAATCATAACATTAGGATTGTTTACCTTTACACACACACACACACACACACACACACATATGCTTATTTACTATTCCTTTTCTATTCACACACCCATTCCTACTATTCACTCAAGTTTACCATAATTTTTTATTTTGGTCCCTCATGTTTTAAAAAACTTTTATTTCTATCTCGAATTTTATTTGTATTACATTTTGGTCCTCGACAACTTGGAGGAGATAGAAATGAAGAAAGAGATAGAGGAACGACATGGCTTATTCCGATCATATCAGCCATCAAGCTCACCACTTTTTTGTTCATCTTGAAAAGTATAATCTGTTTATGATGATAACAAGTTGTGAAATTGTAAGATAAGGTAAATTGAAAGCTTAAAATATTTTGAGCTTTTTTTTTTTTTTACTTTAATTTGAAATTTTGTGTGTTTTATGTGCATTAAAATGAGTTTTGAAATTTAAAACGAGTTGGTAATGTTATTTTTATAATTTTAAGGTGTTTTTTTTTTTAACAAAAATGAGTCCGAATTTGCATTTGAAGAGGTCAAAAAATCTTGCGGACCCGACTTTTTTTGGCTTATGCGAGTCGGGACTAGACCTAGATAAGTGCACTGCCTCGCTCTCTATCTTTTGTTTTTTCAATAATTTTAATGAATTTTTAGAAAAAAATATGAAAGATCATTTTGTTAATACGATCCGGCGATAATAAAATAAATGTGATATATTTCGGATAATTTGTTTGAGATTTTATATATATATATATATATATATATATATATATATATATATAATATAACTTTATATTGCACACTCTCAACCCATTTATAATAATCATGATGTATAAAAAAAATATCAAATCATTGATGTAATTAAAAAATATTAATTATGCTTCTACATACATAGCAAAAATTATTTGCTATTATTTTTTTTAATATTATAAAACCAATTTCTTTGAAACAAAATGATTGAAATATTTTTTAAAAAGATCTACAAAGGATTTGAATACAAGTTTTAATGATAGATAAAAAAAATCTTCTCATCAACATTAGATATGAATAATTTTTTTTTTAATTTTTATACAAGCCTATACATTAATTGTTGCTTTATTTTTTTTAAATACAATTTCATGAAAAATATATTTTTAAAGTATTTTTTAATTCTAGATTGAGATTTTAGTTTATATTATTACAGGTTTTTATTTAAGAATTAATGCATAAAAAATAAATTATATTTTTTCAGAAAATTTATGAAAAAAAAAGAAAAAATTAATTAAAAATTTTAAAATAAATTTATTTCATTCTATCCGCAGCAACTGGCTAATATAATTCTAAGTGGGATGTGTTTTTTCAGCCTTTGGGATCGAGTTGGCAAGCAATTTATTAAATTACTCCCAAATTAAACAACAAGTTCCTTAATTTAGGTGCTAACTGAGTCCTCGTTCCTCACTTTGTCTCCATCAAAAGTGCCATCATTACGTCAGTCCACGTTATTGTCTTTTCTATTTATTTTTTTATTTTTTTATTTTGGTTAATTAAATTTTTCGTTGAGAAATGCTTTATTTTCATCGTTTTGTTAGTTCCATAATGTGTTTTAACACAATTAAATGAAATAGTTTGAAAGAATTAAACATCATGGAGATTTAATTATCCATAAATTTGTTAAATCCCCGTTTCCGTTTGAATTCCATTATTAATTGAATTCAAAAAGGCTAGATTCCAAATAAGGTACTTAATTACTACTTTTATAACTAATCTTTTTTGTAGATTTTTTTTTCATTTTACATAAAATGCGTATAGTATATAAAGCACGTCAAATCGTAAAATCGGATCTCATAAATTCGAATCGAGTTTGAAAATATAAATTCGGATCTAAATCTTAACGGATTTTTTTATAGAAAGTTTATGCTTATTATATTTAACGTGTTGCTTGAATATAAAATATATCTCAACCACTACATATTTAATGAAATCAAATTAATTTATTCTTGAAATGATATTTCATCTATCAATTTTGTAAAAGAATCAAAATGTCATATAATTCAAAAAATACAAAATCAAATAATCCTAATAAAAGTTTATCTTAAACTAGGTAGGAAGTACAATAGAACTCAAAGAAACAACTAATAAATAATCTTTATTTCTTGTCCATGTAATTAAAAAAAAATTGTTAATTCAAATTTTAAAATGGTAGTGTTACAAATCAAGGTCTCGCAATGAAAGAAAGAAAGAAAAAATTTATTAATATTATCATATGTTTTTAACGAGTTACTTTACAAAACTTTATCAATGCATCTCATGACTTTACTAATATTAGTATATCATGTAACTAAATAAGTGCTAATGATCCGAATCCGCCAAGCTCGATGGCTAGAGAACCCACGAAACAAGAAGGAAGAGATCCCGAAAAGCCAAATTAGATTACAAAGACATGAACGCTACACTCCAAATAGGCGAGAAGGGACGAGATAAATCACTCGAATGCCACAAGAATCGAATTTCACTCTTGATAAGTTTGATTCGGTTCTAGAAAGAACTAAAGTATGAATTTTCTCATAAATGTTGATTTGATTCAAAGATTGATTAAACCAAAAATTACATATTGTTTCTACATTAATAGGTTCTTGAAAATTCGGAAAGACAAAGATGAATTAAAGTTGCATAAGATCTAATAATCGAAATATTGGATCCAATAAAGCTTTGAATGAGACTCCTTGAAATTGAAAAAAAAATCCTTGAATTTAACGACTACACTTGTGGACCAAAACTTGATGAATGCGAGACTTGAAAAAAATGTATAAAATTTTTAACTTTGAAGTCGATTGATTCGGTAGCTTTAGCTTTGCTAATCTTGGTCCAAAATGTCAAGAAAAGATAGGTTGGCTAGATTGGACTTCAAGTCTAAAAAATTCAGCCCAATAGCTTGGATAAGATGCATAAGGCCCACTCGATGGTCTTCAAACCCATTGATGGAGAATTCGACCCAATAGCTTTGTTTAGCATTAGAAAGCCCATGGCCCAATTAGCATGCATTCCTCTCAATCTAGATGATAATTAAATCAGCTCATTTTGGTCCATCTTTAATTCATGTTGTGGGCTCATTAATTTTCAGCCTAAATACCAAGCTTTGACTCTTTTTAAAACCCATTTCCATACAAATCAGTCCATGTAAATTTTACGTAGCCCAAATTTCTTCATGGAGTAATCCATTTAATTCTTTCTAATTCTCACCCTTCATGATCATATGTCATACCTCCACTCTTCAAAAAGATCCGTCCTCCAATCTTCACCTTTATACCAAATTCATGCCTTGATAAATGAGTAGTAGTATTAAATCATGTAAATGTAATAGACTTTGAGCCACGAACAACTCTAGAAAAGTCGGTAAACAATGACACACCGAGCATGTGCATGCCCTTTGTCTTTACCAATAAAAACAACTCTCTTATTGAAAGTTATAAATTTCTTAACATTAATAAAGTAAAAAACATGAACTTTATTTACGGTTTAATCATGGTCGGCAATAACTAAAACATCATCACAACTTTCGGTTTCAACCAAACTTTAGTGAGATCAACACCCACAAAGTCAAACTTATTAACATTTTCTCTCTTTTCTCTTATTTTTCTTTCGATCTCAACCCTTTTTCTCTCATTTTCTTTTTCTTTAACTATTTGGTCCTCAAATACTTGCTTAGGTGACAATGGAACAAGTTACTTTTCATCGTCCTATTTCAAATGAATATTTATTGCTAAACTCATCATATGTCACTTGTCTAACAACTTGTCAAGGTTTTTCTAGCAAAATATAATGTGCACTCTTCAACTCATCATCACACAAAACCTCATCTTTGGATCGCCGAATGAAAAAAAGGCACAATCACTTGTTTGTTTACCTCGACTTATAACACTCGGTTACACATTGCAATGTATATGGCCTAGGATGTTCAACTATAGGCAAACTCAACTTTTTGACTAATCGGGACTAGCAACATTGACACAATCACCTCCGTTTATTGTCAAACGACGGATCTTATTATTGATATAACAACGGGTATGAAAAATATTATCTCTCCGTGCCTCCTCCTCACTTTTCACTTATGTGCTCAAAGCATGTATAATTACTAGTAACTTACCATAAACATCATCATCAACAATCACTTCACCCTTTTCCCTAGGATTTTTATCTTTTTACATGTTTAAAACATGCACAAAATTAATTAGTAATAAAAATTTCTCACAAACACTCCTTCACATGTTTCACTTAAATTGATGACACTCAACGCTCGTGTTTGCTTTTTTTAGATTTTTTTTTAATATGCTCACATTCTCTTTACCTTTTACCCTTCTAATTCACTCCTTTGGTTCTTTCTCAAACTAATCTAAATCACACATGAACTAACCAACTATAAGTGACAAATAAGTGCTCAAGAACTTCACTTTCCAAGTATAAGATTTTGAATAGATTTGGAATAAAGAATTGACAAACCAATTCAAATAAGAATTTTAAGTTTTTGGAAACAAAGAAGACATAAGTTGATTATTTTTGGGAAAGAAACTAATCACAATCGGTTAGCACATAATTTATTATTTATCTACTAATTTGAAACACAATAAACGAGACTTTAGAGCTACTAATTTTACCAAAGTTGACAATGAAAAATAAGTCGAACATAATTAATTTAGCACACACAAATGACATTTTTAGCTACTGATTTAGGAAATGAAACTAATTTTTTTTTTTAATATCGATTTCGGATCAAATGATACAAATCGACTATTACCTCTTGTTTTTTTTTTCATTTTTTTAATGAAAGAATATATCACAATAACTCTTTTTTTATATATATATAGCCTTATGGCATTTTCAATGTAGTGCTTTGGTTTTTTTTTTTTTTTTTTAGATTTAGAATAAGAAGAAAATTTTAGAATTGGATAAGAAGATTAGACTTAGTTTAACAAGACAAATAGTGACTTAGACAAATTGGATTGAAACGAATAAAATCAATCATTTTTTTTAGTGAAAATTGACTCAATTTGGACTAAAAAAAAACTACAAAAACATGAAATAAAACAAAGATAATGAAACAAAAGAACTTAATTTATAACCAAGCTTTGATACCAATCGAGGTGAACCCGCCTAACTCGATGGCTAGAGAACCCATGAATAAGAAGGAAGAAATCTTGAAAAGCCAAATTAGATTAGAAATATATGAATGTCACACTTTAGATAGGTGGAAAAGGAGTGATAAGTCCCTCGAATGCTACAAGAATCGAATTACCGTTGATAAGTTCTAATTCGAGTTCTCGAAAGAACTATGGTGTGAATTTTTTCATAAACGTTGATTTGATTCAAAGATTGATTAAACAAAAAATTACATATTGTTTTTACATAAATAGGTTGTTGGAAATTCGGAAAGATAAAGATGAATTAAAGTTGCATAGGATCTAACAATTAGAAATGTTGGGTCCAACAAAGCTTTAAATAAGACTCTTTGAATTCAACAGCTATGATTGTGGACCAAAGCTTGATGAATGCTGAATTAAAAAAAAAGGTGTAAAATTCGACTTTGAAGTGGATTGATTTAGTAGCTCTAGTTTTGCTAATCTTGACCCAAAATGTCAAGA